TCCAGACTTCTAGAATTAAGCCTATTAACCTGATTCCCTCCATTGAGTTAGTATTATTCAACCTGAGCTCAACTCTGAACCCACCATGCTTCAAACAAACATACTTATTCATCAACCTGCAAAGGAACACATTTTTAGCTTTTAATTCCAAGACTGATGCATAGTAGATTCATACACTTATTTCAAATGAGCAGCGCATGTTCTAAGAATGATGAGTAAATGTCAAACAAAGTCTAACCTGGAAAATGTTCACATCCAAGGCTCTCACGGGGCCAGTATGCTTGTCATTCTGGGCAATCACAACTTCCTTGTCTCCGGCTATAATTTTAGAAGGATCATAAAGAATAATGTTTCCATTTTCACCACCTGCAATCAGAACTCCAGAGACATCTCCTTTGGAATCCATTTTATAAGGCCCCCAAATTAACTTGTGGTACCTTTAGGAAAAAAAGAGCAAAATAACTCATTCCTGAAGTCAAATAAATGTAGAAAAAAAATTGAAATTACACATTTAATTGTTTATGGTTTCATAAAAACTCCGAAAACATTGCTTTCCCTCCAATCCTGGTAACGGTGCATAACTTTGGTGAAATGGCATTTTATTATTTATACTCATATCTGTATATTTGATTTTATAACCACTATAGAGTAAAAACTCGTGTAGAGGTAAAGCAGTGTAACAAAGTATATTTCAGTGGTGTAGCAAAAGATATGGGTTTGAGAATAATTTTACTATTTAGAAACTCTAAGATTCTGGGTAAGTTAATCTTATTAAATTGCCTTTGGTTCATCTGCAAAATAGAGCTAATAAACCACTTCCCTTGAAAAATAAACTATTTGATTACAGAAGTGGTCACCAACAAGTGGTCTGTTAAATAGTAAAGGTGTTCAAGGAGTCAGCTGAAATTTTCTAAGAAAAATAATGTATTCAGACAGTAGAAAAGTGACATCAAAATTCTGTCTATTATGACAAGTACCCCTACTGGTGGAGAATAAAGGATGACAGTCTATAATCTGGATGGAAATGAAATAGGAAGGTGACATATGCATATGGTGTATGATGAGACAGATAATGGTGAGTAGAAAAACTCTAGACAAAGGGATCTGGGGCTCCCATCACAGTGTGATGGCTATGAAGACTATGAGAGGTCCCCACGAAACTCCATAATCAGAGCTATAGTCCCTTAGCTAAGGTACAATCTCTTCAAAACCTGCTAGGATATTGCAGCAATAAAGCTTATTTTGTTACTGAAATGAAAGTATCCTTTCTCTGCATTACAATAAGGTGTAAGTACTTGAAAGCGTGATCCAAATACCAACTGTATCAGAAACCATGTCAACAAAATTCTCTGTGAAATACATTTCTAAATATAGATAAGTGCAAAGAAGAAAATAAAAATAACCTACCATTCAGAGCTAATCCTATCAGTATCTTAATAAAATTACTCCTTTTTCTAGTCATACCTACCTTTTTTTTTTTGTTCACTGAAAGTAAGGCAGGACATACCTACCTTTTTTCAAAAACAGTTGTAATAAAGGGGATAGAAAAAATAACTCTATCATACCATGAGAAAAAAAAAATACTAGAAACACTATGTACTAAAGCCTCTCCCTTCCCAACTTACAGATAACAGTCAGCAATAAAAAAGGCAACAGATCATATAAACATTTCCTTACTTTCATAAAAATTCACTCATATACTTTTTTCACAAAATATTTCAGGTCACTGATGGCATTCCTTATAGTCTCTAAAACTGGCAGAATTATATATAAACTAAGCATCAATTGTGATGTATAATTAAATGATCATGTGAATTTAGGGCTGACCCTCATACCTGTGGGAAGAGGAGAAAGTGGCACACGATTTCATATCCAAGGAGGGATCAGAAAGGTCTAATTCAAATATCTCCAGGGAAGCATTGGTACTAAATGTTGCATCCAATTGCTGAGCAGATGTTCCTATAGAAAATACATTTATGATAACTACACATGCAAAAACAAAAGCCTCAGAGAGAACCATACAAAACAGAAATTAAACGCATGTTTTTCAATTATCTTGCTCGTGAATGCTGCATTAGTGGCTGAAATCTCAGCACATATGCCACTGAGCAAATGCTTAAGCCACCGCAGCAATGAGATTCTGGCAAAGGGCTGGGAGATGATGTTTGTAAGAATGGATACTACAGATATTTTTAAACCTGTAGATATTTTAAAAGTGCTTTGTAAAAATGGTCCCATGATTTACTGTATCTGCTTATAATCATACATGATATACCTCTAACTTTTACATAAAAATGCTAATATCAACATTGCTCTTCATTAATTTACATTGATACTGTTTTTTACATGTTATCTATTGTGATTAATACAGGAGGAGTAACGACAAAACACAATCCTGAGAAGTAGGGAAAATAACTTTATATGTACCACATCATGATCAATGCTCTGATGTACAAGGTGCTATGTGAACACAGAAGAAGGTCACTGAACTCAGCTTATAGCAAGGAGATACCCTCCCAGGGAAAAGATGCTTTCCAGAGAAGATATGGCTTGAACTGAATCTTAAAAAACAAGTACGAATAAGCCAGATGTAGAAGAGAAGAGGTTAAGTTACTCATTGGGTTACTCATACTATCTTCTGTCTTTTGAACTTACCTGTAGCCAGGTAAATGGGGTGATTCTGGGCAGGGCTCCATGCCTGCATGGCTGTACGATCTATTTCCTTTAACTTCATCCTGCTAAAGAGAATACTTTATATAGAAATCTACTGAATACGTTACATAGAACACAGAAACTTATCTTACATAAAAATATACTGGACAAACCAGTACATTAGTAATGGCCAAAGTGCCAATAAATCAAATTGGCTTAGATGTCATTTATTGGAAATGCTCTCAATATAATAAAGAAGACAAACTTGTTAAGTTATTTTGAGAAAATATCAAGCTATTCTAATTGTTTACAGATTACAGTCCTTC